TCTTACTTTCAAAAGATTTTGCAGTCGACTAACATGAATCGATCAATGATATTGGAGCCACAAAAAAGTAGGCTAAAATGACACTCAGTAAGATAAAAATAAATATAAGATAAAATGACATAAGAAAGATAAAGGATAAAAATAACATAAGAACATAAGAAAAATAAAGACTATAAAAAGATAAAAGGAAAAAACAGAGAGAAAATAGAGAAAAGAGATCAATCATAGCTTCATAAATCGATTCATGTAATATGATGTGACTATGTGATACTATTGACCGTCACATGCTTAGCACAACATCTCCCCTTTATCCTCGTTTGGGACATGCATCATATCAAAATATCAGCACTGTTGTCACTGTCTTTGTCGTGAAACAACAAAGATATCAAAATATCATGACTAACCAGGTAATAAATTTGAAAAAACATGATATAAATTTTTATGTCAATGACAATTTTTCAAATTTCAATGTGAGTAACCACTGTTGTCACTGTCTTTGTCGTGAAACATGCCACCGTGATCATCGAAAATGTTACACCCTCCGTCACTTATAACTTTGTTAACTATCCTTTTTTGGTTGTCTCAAACACTTTGTCACTTTTCCTTTCAGGGTTGGTTTGCAACAATTTAAAAAAAACACTTCTCAGCTTTTGGCTTAAAAACACGTATTTTACCAAACACTACCAACTTTTACTTTTCTCGGCTTTCGTGTGAAAAGTGTTTTTTTCTATTACACAAAAAACACTTATTTTACCAAACACTACCAACTTTTACTTTTCAAAAGAACTTTTTTCTCAAACACTATCAAATTTTACTACTAATCACTTTTTTCCAAAATCACTCCAAAAGTGCTTTTTTTAAGCAGAAGCTGTTGCAAACACCTCGTTAATCAATCAATTTGTGGCTCATGCTATTTCTCTCTCCTTTGCACACATTTTTTACTTTATTATTCTACGTGCCGGTCAAACATGGTAAACCTTTAAGAGACGGATGAAGTACTCCCTCCGGTTTTTAATAAACTTCACACTTTCCTTTTTGGGACGGTCTAAAATAAACTTCACACTTCCTTATTTCCTTTTTTGGCAAAGAAATCTACATCAAAACAGTGCCAAACAGTGCCAAACAGTGTCTCAACAGTGCCAAACAGTGTTTCTACAGTGCCAAACAGTGTCAAACGGTGCCTCAACAGTGTACTCTACAGTAAAGTCAAATTTTTTTCCTTATTTTGTGTGAAGTCAAACTGTGAAGATTAAAAAAAACCGGAGGTAGTATGTTTTTTGGTGTCTTTTTCCATCTTAAACAAAAAAGAAACAAAACAGTTCTGCGAAATACTCCTACAATTTTACCGGTAGACAAGGGTAGGAATTATAATTAAAAGAAGATTATATTAATTAAAAAAGTAGTCATATTTTCTAAAAAATAAAAATTAGCTATTCACAGTGGCGGATGTCCTTTATGCAAGGGTGTTCCCATGAACACCCAAAAAACAATAGGAATATGTATATTTGAATTAGAGTAATAATTTGCTTAATAGTATTTTAAAGAGAAAATGTGTAATTTTGAACACCAAAAATGTAATTTTTAACATGATTAAATAAAGAAAATTGGTGGAATTATATTTTATGTGAGGGAGAGTATGCTTTCACATACCACTCGCCCATGAAATGACACCAACATCCCGACATATATACATGCGTATATTAGTTGTACAGTACCACCCAGTGTGTTATTGCATTCTACGTGGATTTTGCCTTTTCAAGTTTATAAGTTTGAATATTTTATACTCCAATTAATAAAGGAAAAATTGATAATAATAATCTCAACTATTGGTGGTCCGCTCATAATAATCCCAACTATTGATTATTACAGAATAATCCTAACTTTAGGGACCTTCCGCCAATAATGGTCCCTATGAATAAATTATTGTAGTTTCTAAAGTGGATGAGATGAGATATAACAAGTAATCCCTATAAATAATCTCAACTTTTAATTTTTACGCTTAATTTCTATTTAAAATTCACTTTTTATAGAGGTAATATATGACCATGGACCATTATTGGCGGATAGTCTATATAGTTGGGATTATACAAAAATAATCAATAGTTGGGATTATTTTCAACGGACCAGTAATAGTTGGGATTATTATTTTCAATTTTTCCATTAATAAATGTGATCGCTTAATTCGCTTTTGCCGAAAGGCATTTGGGGTGTACCGATTAAGGATGTTGATTTATTTAATCAAATTATATTCATTGAATAGAACGTACCGTATAACTTCACGTAACAGGTTTTGAATGATTCATCTTATCAGATAAACTTTTTTTTTTATTACATAAAACTACAAATTTTGGTATGCGGTATCTTGAGATAGAATATGCCATCAATTAAGTGTACTTTGTTAAGATTATGGGTATAAATGGGTATTCTACGCCAGATTGCACAGTGGTCAGTCTGGTCACGGTACAACATGAGTATGTTAAATTATGGGACGTTTTATGTTAAAAGAAATGAGTATAACATTTAAAAAATGAGTATTCATATTAAATTATAAAACTAACACAATAAATATTTTGATAATCATATAATGATAATATAGTTAAATGAATAAGTTGATTTGTACCATATATATTAGTGTAGATCATGATATTCAATTGCATGCTTCTAATACTCAATTGTGCTACAAATATAGTGATTTAGTACAATATCAATTTCTTTTTATTTTTTATACGTTATACACATGTCTTTTACCATAAAATTTGATTGTACACTGAGCACTGTACAACTGGGTGTAGAGTGTAGCCTCTCACGATTATGCTATAAACATGTTTTAAGTCAATTGGTTTCGGTTCAAGATCAACCAGAACAAATCAAATTCAAACATACTAGATCAGATCAGTTCATAACTAAACAGACTAGATTAGACTAAAAGAGATCAGATTAAGATAGTTATGAAATACACATAGAACATGAATCTGTCATACCAGATTCGACCAATTCAAATCAAATCAAAGTAGAATAGAAAATTTCGATGCAATTAAAGCATCGATCGTAACTAGGAGTTGGTACACTCCTTTATAGTAAAAACATATACTACGAACCCATTTGGTAGCACGAAAATCGGCCGATTCTGTTGAAATTTATGAAGTTTTGGCTGAAATGACTGCATTGGCTGATTTAAGAAAAAATTATTTTTAAAATATATTTTATGAATAAAATAAAGAAAAAATTATACGTCAAAATAGCTAAAATGGTCATCTAGAGTAACTTCAGCCAATACAGCCAGAAAAGTAACTTCAACCTTACTTATTCTACTTATTACTCAATTCAGCGCGCGAAAGCAAAAGTAACGTTTTTGGTGAAAAAGTTGGCTGATAAGCTGAAAAACAGTGTTGCCAAATGACCTCTACAGACTACAGTTTAAAGGTTTAATTTAGATTGAATTTTTAAATGTAATCTGCATTAATTTGAACTGATTTGATCTATTAGGTATGAAGTTGTTTGTTTGTCCTCAATAAATTACATTAGAAATATTCATATCAAATTTGGTCAAATCTTAAAAGTTTGAGATCAGAAACATATGAGATCAAACAAAACTTCTAAATTGTTTAGAAGTATTCTAGGTGGACAAGCACTTTAACAGCAACATACGAAGTATAACTACATAAGGACTTTGCAAAAAAAAAACTACATAAGGATTATTATTTTTTACAAAGAAACAAAATACTACATCCGTTCTCTTTTAATTGCAACATTGAACTTTTTGCACTATTCACATATTCTACTTTGACTACATTTTATTTATTAATGTATTATAAAATAAATTTTTTAAAAATATTGTTAAATTCTTCTCATTCTAAATTTTCAAATTATGAATTTTTTAATTTTTTTACTAATAAAAAATGAAAGATATTGATGGTCAACTTGTGCGTTGGCAAACATGAAATGTTCGTTGACTGTTGCAATTAAAAGAGAACGGGGTAAGTATTTGCCAAGATCGCATACACGACGCCCGCGCCTAACTAGTTACTTATATATATATGTACTGAGTAATGATCTGGTCAGGCGCGCCTGACCAGACGTGCTGTGCGGACTTGCCCGTTTGGGTGCCTTCCTGGTCGAATTTTTTGATGAAATTTTTTGAGCAGTTCCTCATCAAGTCTAGTTTATCCATACAAATTTCAGCTCAAAATTCGATCGGGAAGGCGGTCAAATAAATTCTTGAAACATACTGGTCATTCTGCGCATATATAAAGACCAGTATGTTTCAATAATTTATTTGACTGCCTTCCCGATCGAATTTTGAGCTAAAAATTGGTATGGATAAACTAGACTTGAAGAGGAACATGCTCAAACAATTTCATCAAAAAATTTGACCGGGAAGGCACCCAAACGGGCAAGTCCGCACAGCACATCTGGTCAGGCACGCCTGACCAGATCATTACTCTATATGTACTACCTATAAATATAAAATTATAAACGGCACCAACTCCGTTGTATGGTTGATAATATTTCTAGTTGGACGATTTTCAGTCTCATCAAATCAAATTTAAACAAATCATACCAGATTTAAACAGATCAGACCAAACCAAACTTCCATAGTTATAGAATACACAGAAACCAGACATCTAACAGATCAGACCAGAGCAATACAGACCAAACCAGACTTAAACAGACCAAATAAGATCAGACCAGTAAATTTAAGTCCAACTAAAAACATTCGTAATCTAAATTGTTTGGAAAAACAAAACAAATTTGCAAAATAAACACGAAGTTGGCACTTAGCTATATATGGATTAGGATTGATATCCTCTGCCGTGCGGCAGAGTGCCTTGCGGCAAGGGGATCGTCAAATAGAAAAAATGATGTCTTGAGAAGTAGACTTCAAGATCTCCGACCGTTGAAATTTGAACAAACGGTTCTGAAATGCCAGACACCCTACCTGACTACCTTAATTACTTTAATAAAGGCAGAGACTCGGAATCTGCTATATATATGACATGAATTCCATTCTGTAAAATGAAAGCCGAAGGGTGAACTAACTTGGGAGGAGAGAGAGTCCGAGTCATGGCACACGGCTTCAAATTGTTTTCCATTATATCCCTTGTGCTGCTGCTCCTTTTTGCAAACGGTAGTTTTTGTATTCCTTATTTATTTTATGGTTTTCAATATTTTATGTGATTCCTTCTACCGCCCAACAAAATCTTCATGCAATTGACATCTAGAGCATCTCTAATACGGAGTATTATTTTTTTCATACATGTTAAATTTTGCCAAATGTCAATTGAAGAGGATATTGTTAAGACGTCAAAACATTACCTTGGATCATTTAATCAATTCCAAAAGAAACATGACAGAAAAGGATAATAGGAAAGAGTTAACCAATTAATGACTCGTCAACTTAGTTGGACTAAAATTTGGTGGTCTGATAAAGTAACTATCCAAATTTGATTTGATCTGATCAAGTCTGGTCTGGTCTGTTCTGTGATTGAAAACCGTTCAAGTAAAAACATTCTTACACATTCTTTCTCGAATAAAAAAAGCGGGGTTTGAAAAAATTGATCCATATCAATTTAGTAGGGCTATTAAAAGAATGCATTAGAGATAAAGTTTCATTCACTTTCAAAATTGTGAGATGTGTAAAAAGAAGAACAATGGAAATGCTCTTATAGTGTAACTTTGCTGACTTGCATGATATGTCCCATAACTTAAACGTAGTAGACTACGACTTGAAAGCAAGTATTACTATTACGAGACTAACATCACAAAAGTTACCACACTAAGCTCTTCTCATCACCTCATCTCAATATTTATAATCTAAATTTTTTAAGATTGATCTGATTTTTTTTATAAACTTTCCATTTGATCCGAACTTTTTGATTCGATATGATCTGATTTGAATCTTTTGATTTGACCAAGTGTTTATTACTGCTTCTATTGTTATTAATAACAAGTATTGTACCCGTGCGATGCACGGTGCGTGAGTTTGTGGATGGGGTATAACCCCCGTCAGACATAAAACTCAATTGGTTATAAAGTTAATATCATATGCTACACTATTAAGAACATAGAGTGTAATATGTAAGTTTGTTGTAATATGTAATGTGATTTTGAGACCTGCACGAATGATTACTTTGGACACAACAACATATAATTGTCCATGACCGAAAACTGGTGTTTTCAATAGGAGGCAGCGTGAGCGAGCGACTGACCTTGACTTTAATTGATGGTCATTGCATAAGAAATCATAATAGAAATTGTCTCCTTTGTCATAAGAAACCATAATAGAAATTGATAGTCGTGATATTATAACTTTCTGACATGCGTTCGTACCATTCTAGTACAGCACCCGTGCGATGCTATACGGTGTGAGTAAACAAAGAATGATGTGTACAATATAATTGCTATAACAGTATGTGTAGTATATTAGCAAGTTAACAATGACTATAGTAAGTACTTTATTATTAAGTTGTTATAAAGATAACACTAATTGTGAGTCGCATAAAATACATTAAATGTTAGGTTATGAAAACTTCTTTATACACAACACTCATGGTCTCATCGTTAGTTGAATAAGAATTTTAAGATACCCATGATTTGTAATCGTAAAGGTAACAATATATAGTTCTTCATCATTTAAAATAGTTTTTTTTAATTAGATTGGCTGCTTTTGACTTTTATTTATGTTCATTGCATAAAAATCATTACATTCACTCCAAATTCTAAAAGTAACATTGATGTCCTAAAACGTAAAAAAAATTAAGTGAAATTGAAAAGTACACATTTAAGCTTGATGTCATATCTAGATTGTCCCAAAATGATAGTCATGTTTTCCCTTTTCACAAAGAAATTAAAGTGTATTACCATTTATACCTCTTCCTTTTTGTGAATAGTAAAAGTAAAAGAGTTAAAAGTACAATAAAGTAAAGATATATGGGCTATTCTACCAAGCTTTCTTAATATTTGAGCCCAAATGATATATGACCATCAATTTGGAAAGTGGGAGTAGAGTAATTATTACACTCATTAAAATTTAAAAAATCATATGTTCACCCACAATCTATATTTAACTTTTTGCCCATAACTATAGTTTTTTTGTGTTGGGAAAATAATTTATATACCCAAAATTTTTATGGAGTGTGGGGTGTGTACTCCAAACTTGCATATGTAGTGCATATATATACTCCGAACTTTAATAAAAAGTTATTTTCGCACCACGATTTTTACAGATATGAATTTATTAGAATAATTATATAATTTTAAATACATTAAACCTTGTTAGAAGGCAATTAACAATCTATAATTTCATTTATGAAATAAATAATATTACATCCGGTACAAATTAATTTTAATTACATCCTTATAAATTTTTTTTGTATTTAAAATTATGTACTTAACACCATAAAATACATTTATGAAATTATATGGTCATGGTGCTAACACAACTTTTTGTATAAAGTTTGTGGTATATATTACATGTGCAAGTTTGAGATACTTATGTCACACCCCTTCAAATTTTGAGACATTTAAATTATATTGTTCCTCTTTTTTGTCCACAACTTGTATTTTAGTCCAAGCATAAATTTGTTTAACTTTTTTATTCCAAGGATAATTTCATTTCAACAGTCCAAAATTACCCTATACATTAATTTAAGTTAACCCGTTTGAGAACTCCACCACAAAACCCAGCCCAAAAAAGTAACGTAGTTATACGGATTACATATCTAGGGTAAATCTAGGGAAACCTTTCTTCTTCCCCATTCCAGAACTCTCGATCGAGAGCTCCAAATCATCTCCCCTCCCTGAATCGCCGATACCGGCCTTCAACCTCAAACTCGTCGGTTGGCCATCATCACCGCAATCGCCTTGAACCTGTTCATCTTCCATCATGTACACCTCCCCAACAGCCTCAGCCAACCTCTCATGCCGTAAACTCCCCACCCACAGACAATATCACTCGGCCTCATCCCACCACTGATTCAACACTTCGAATACTTCACTTCCAGCCCAGAAATGGAAAACTGCACAAACTTGAATACACCGAAGCTTTCTGAAGGATTGTTTCCAGGAATCTCCAGATCTGTAAGTGTGTTTGCCTATATTTTGTGCAAGCTGTTATATTTTTATTCTATCTACTCTGAAATAAGTGAATGTTTGCCATTATTTATTGCCTAAATAAAGCTTCTTGATTTAAGAAATTTATTTATTTATTTATTGTGAGCGTGTATTCTAGAAAATGAATCAATTTATGTTTTGGTCCAATTTATCCTTATGAAGAAAAACTTCTTAGCAAATCCAAGTTAAGTCAACTTTGAGTTTGGATGTTTAAGTCAAGTTTAATATAATGTGATAAGGCCCCCAATATATATTTTAGTAGAATTTTCTTGGCTCATTGAAGATTTAAGCTCTTTATTTAACATTAAATGGACTGATATGTGACCAAGACATGATTTTGTGCTTTTGATAGGGTCTGATATTCTGAAAAATTGTTCAGTGCACTTCCAAGTCTCAAATATGTGAGCCTTTTATTTTTTTACTCATTCTTTACTTCAGTACTTGGACTATCAGTTGGAACTTGACACATTTATTGTTGATTTCGGAACAAATTAATGTAAGCAAGGTGATTAGTTTTTGAGAGCTTATTATCTGTGAGGATTCTAGTAGAAATAAAATTAAATCGAATCATAACATTTGGGTAATATTTACTTAACTTGTCCTTAATCATATTTAACTAAAATCATTCCATTAATCATTCATAAATCATTTAGAAACAATCTGATTTTTAAAATTGAAGCTCTGAATTAAAGTTGTTGTCCTTAATAACCTTGAATGGGATGGAATTGATAAAAATTTCTTACTTCAACTTTGTTATATATAAAGTGTAATTTGAATGCATTTGTGGTAACTTGAATGACATAATTTCTCAACTTGATGTAAATCTTGCTGTAATCTGTTTGGAAAGAGTAGTATTTATAGGGAAGTGGATGATCTTCCCATAGAAAGAATGCACACCCCAAGAACAGGTTGGCGAGTATTTATGGGTGTTTCGATTCGTTTGATCTTTCATGGGTGAGTACCGATTCGTTTTCCCTAAATGTGAATCTTCTCTTAAATATAATTCACACCGCTTATTGGTTTGGTCTACTTCTTGATTCGTATCTGTTTGATGATGTAGTCCTCAACCTTCGATCACACTTGTGAATAATTAAGCTATAAAATCCTCAGCCTCTTATGCTTCTGTCCAAAAGGTAAGTTAATTGTTTTTTACACAAGTTATATTTGTTTTTACTTAAGATTTAAGCAGAAATAATTTTTATTAAATATGTATTTTCAGATCTCCCAGTTAAACAATGACGAAGCCATTTGTAAAATGCCCAAAGTTAACAATCGGCTGACCTATGCCACTTGTAAGCTGCAAGGTACCACTTCTTCAATAGATTTTGTGTTCATTTAATTATTTGGTTCGTTTAGATCTTTGTAACTTTGATTGACATACGTATTGTGTAATACAAACTCATATAGTTATTTTATGATTTGCTGAAATTGGGTAAACTCTACCAATATTTTGCCTTGATTATACTTTGTATATTTTACTCATTTTCCAATAAATAAAGCAATTGACAACCTCAGTTACTTTTCTCTAATATGGAGTATCAATTTATAAAAACTTGCAATTCCATAAGGGTTATGTAAATCTGAATTGCAATCACATCAAAATTAACAAAACGTATAACAATTCCCTGAAATAATGAAATGGTTGAAGTTCAACAATGACACTATAATAAGATTATGTGAAGTTTACTTTTTACTGATTCAGCATCTGGTTTTCAAGCGAGGGTTTGTTACTCTCTGGCCAACCCAATTTTTGGAAGTCTTAACTACCTTAGGTGTTTCTTACATAACATTATAAGAATATCTCATTGACATGACCCACGTAACTGTTTTTTTCGTTTTGTAAACATTGTATTCATTTCACCAGGCTATTAAATACTCCGTAACAAACTAACTCTCACTCAGTTTTTTAAGACAATTTCTTAGGTTCTTTCTGTAGGTGGTGTAATTAATTAATGTAGTTTATTTTTATTAGAGACAACAAAATCTACTTCCCCCCTTCCAAGTTGACATTCAAGGTAAGACATTTAACATATGATATTGTCCCTTTTGTAGGTTTTATAATGTTTTTGAACATGGTAATAATGTTCATGTCTTAAGAGCATCTGATAGCTAGGCATGGAAAATGCTAAGAATGACTTCCTAGTAGTTAATTCATCTACTTTTGATTTTAAGATACGTGGCTTAAGTAAACTATCATTGTTTGGTATTTGTAATCAATTACCATTTTTGGGACTAATAGACTGAGTATATCAATGAGAGTTCTGGTAGATGTGATATTAAATCTTATGTACCTCTTTAGGTCTTCTTAACTCAACTCATTTTTAACTGCCCTTATAAATGTGTAACTATTTACTTATAATTTAGTGAACTTGATCAAATTGTATACATCACAGAGTAGTTGGAAGTTGAAATCACTAACCTCTGTTGATTTATATTGATATCTTCGTGCGTATCTTCTGGTCTGATCAATGTTTTATGGTGGTTCATGGTGGTTGCAGCTTCGAGAATCCAATAATGCAGATCCTTTTGAAACCTTTATTGGGAATACAATAACTTTGATGTTCAGAGTAGTGGCACCACTGATAAAACCAATACCAATATTCAGGTGCAATTCATGCTCTGTCTCACTTTCGTTATTTAAAATTTAAATATAATTCAAACATTGGACTTTTATACTAACAACTTTTTTACCTTCTTATCAAGAAATATACGTTCAAATGATCAACTTTTTTGACCTCATCAAGAAATCAAGAAATATACATTATAATGATATTAATTATAGTACATCTTGAAAGCCTGAAGCTTAATTAGCAAATTTTATTACAGCCAAAAATTGATATATTTTGCATTTATATACTTGTAAGTGTATGTTGTCTAATAATACCGCCTAACAATGAGGCGTTTCTTTAAGAAACCAATAACCCAAAAACTTTTTCTCCCAATGAGAGTATCAACTTCTCATCTTCTGCAATACATCAGTTGAGTGGCTGACAACGAACTCCCAGTATTTTGACCATCTTCTTCACAATCTTACCTCATACCCTCCCTCTTCTATCTCCTCTCCAGTTACAGTCCCATGCCTTATTATCTTGGGATGCCTCAGCCAACAATCTAATCCCCTCATTCTGATAATACCCAAAGCCTACGCCGTCTTCCCTCCAACTTCCATAATATCAATTTTTCTATGTTCATCAATCTATTGAGGATGTGAACTGTCAACATATTTTCTGATCTGTAATAAGTTCCTGTAATTTTCAATCGTGTATTCTACGTACGTAGTATATAATCATTGAAATTGCTTCTGATATGATGAGTTCAAGTACTAAATATTATTGCTTTGAGTAAACCAAAATCATGTTTTCAATTCAATTCTATAATATGACTAAATTAGATTTTTTTTTTTTGTAAAATTAGACTACTAATAGCGTAAAACTATGATGGATAAGGTTCCATTTCATAATTAGTTTCATAATCTTTTGTTTTCTAAATAATCTACTTTATTAAAATTTCATATCTGGAAGAAGATTCTATTGGCTAAATGTTTTACTTTTCGTTCAACCAAATCATTCTTTTTGTTTCTAAAAGGAGGTGTACTTTGCACTCAAATAAGATACTTTCAAACTCAGAATTCCCAATGAGTATTAGTTGAGCACTGCACAACAATCTGATACATGTTTTGTATATATAGACATGCATGATGCATCGCATAAACTTCAAATGCTTCACTTGGTCCATATCTCTCAGCTCATCAATGATCACAAACACGTTCTTCAAAATCTGATAACCTGTTGATAATCAAAATACCAAAATGATGTTAACCCTACCTTGATGAGAATATATGGCTATTATATTTTCAGATGGAGAATTTCTCAGATGGAGAATATATGGCTACTAAAAAATGAGGTGTTGGAATGGGGTGGAGATGCCGACTCGGTTGAGGTATTTATAATGTTTTCTCCCTGGTGGATTAATTTTGAACAGGTATCCAAGTTTGACAGCTGTATTATTTGCCTTTTCCACTTCAACCGAGGAGCTGTGTTTTTTGCACGTGAACCGAGATGAAGAGACAGCTTGGTGTGCGCACGCCTTGGAACAGCCTGGCCAGACTTGATGGGTGCTTTAGAATGTGTGTATTGTTGAACTTTAATTAATGTTTCTAATGTGCATGAGTAAACATAAAGTTTCGTAATGTAGCTTTCTGTAAATAGCGGCCCAATTTCTGCCAATTTGGCACTGTACACGTCTGAAAAATTCGGCCCAGCTGTTTGATTTCATCATTAATTGATGTTGTGCAATTTTACCCTTCACAGGGCTATTTATGTAATTTACGTTATGGACTCTTACCTTAGGACTTTGGGCGGGAATACTGTTGAAAAAACAGTGTTTTCATAGATTTTGCTTTTATATATTAGTAGATAAAACTATTATATACTCCCTTGCAAAAAAAACTATTATATACTCGGTATGTTTTAATAATACTCCCTCCGTCCCCCTAATTTTGTCTCGTTTTACCTTTTTCGTCCATCCTATTGAGTTTGTCCCATACCATATTAGGTAATATTTGAGTGGTTAGAATTCATTCCTACTTTATTTACACTTTATCAATTCAATATCAAGAAATAATTACATAAATATGACCAAAATAAAGATGATTTACAAAAGTATGATTATTGACTAAAGTAGTAATGAAATCATAGTAATTCATGTTCAAGTTTTGATCTTAAGTTACCACAACACCACATTGTAGTAATGAATAGTCATATTTATGTAAATATGTTTTATTTTAGTAATATTCTTGTAAAAAACCCCAATATCAACCACACAATTCTACTTTTCCTTAAAAACAATTCTAATTATAATTACAATTATAATTAGAGATACATGGATTTGAGTTTTTGTTAATGATATAGCAAAAATGAGTCCAACCTTACTTTGATGCAAATAAAATAAGAATAATGAACAATCAATGAGATTAACTATTAAATCAGCCAATCTCTGATCTCTTTTATACTTATAAAACTACCTCCTACCTCTCTGGATGTTTTCTTTTGGACTGTTTTCAGTCCCAGACCAGACCAGACCAGATCAGACCAGACCAGACTTAAACAGATCAGACCAGATCAGACCAGACTTAAACAGACCAGACCAGACCAGACTTGGATAGTTATAAAATACACAGAGACCAGACGTTTACCAGACCAGACCAGTTCAGATCAGACCAGACCAGACTTAAACAGACCAGACCAGACCAGACCAGATCAGACCAGACCAGACCAGCAAATTTCAGTCCAAAAGAAAACATCCTATCTCATAATTAAATTCCCAGTTTGACCATACAAGGCAAATTTTACGAACTTTGACCATTAATCAGTTTCAATTTGCATGGACGTAGAGATGGGCACAATCATAAGAGTTGCAGAAGGGCACAGGACGTGCCAATCACTGAGCCAGAAGTTCAAGGGGCTATGTGCCAGTGACCACAACTGTGCTTCCGTCTGCCACACTGAGGGCTTTCACGGCGGCCATTGCCACGGCTTCCGCCGCCGATGCTTCTGCACTAAACCTTGCTAAATATAATTCTTTTATACGGAGTATTTAGCAGTGTTATTCAATTAAAATAAACACCGTATGTTTTATATAATAATTCGCCCGCGAATAAGTTTAATTATCCTTTTATGCGGTGAGTGAGTTCCCATTCCGCAAGTTTGAGCATATATATGTGTATGTGTGTATATGTATTTGTATGAATAACAATGAGTGAGCTCATTGGATGGCTCTAGCTCAACAACAAGTTTGTGTGTGATTAATTTGGATTTTGGATTATTACGAATCAAGTATATGTTTCTTTCAGCGCAGCAGACTCTTATACATAGTACTACATCCATCCCACTATGTTTGGGACCATTCGGTTTACGATATTTGATCGATGATAAAACAAACTGATCCATGTTAGCACTCAAATTATTTTTACAAAAAAAAAAATACATATTCAGAAACTACATCAGAAGTTTTACAAAGTCGCAAAAACCAGAATCAAATTTGATAAAAATTTGATATATAAAGTAAGAGATTAAGAGTGATTTGTGTTGACCAAGTGAATAGTGTCTGAGACAATTTTAGCGGGACGGAGGGAGTAGTATATATGGATTATATATTTTCTGATATTGAAGTTACTAGAACAAACGGACACAACGGTAAAAGGTCAATTTACTCAATTATATCATGATCAGGGTAGTAAAAGAAAGAAATAATTACATAAATATGACCAAAATAAAGATGTTTTACAAAAATATGATTAGTTACTAGAGTGGTAATGAAATCATAATAATTCATGTTCAAGTTTTGAGTTTAAGTTACCACAACACTACGTTGTAGAATGATTAGTCATATTTATGTAAAAAAGTTTTATTTTAGTAATATTCTTGTAAAAAACCCAAATAAACAAACAGGATGCACTATACCTATATGTGTTATTCTCAAAATATGACTTATTTGGATTAATAAAAAACTTCCTAAAATATAAGTACTATGGTTTTAATTCGAGAAGAAAAGATAAGAGTGATATGTGAGGAAATAGGTTATGTTTGCCCAAAACACACTTGACATTTGCTTTACTTTGGTAGTGGAAGGCACATGAGTGGGGCCAAATGCATATATAAACACTACCTTAATTATTGGTAATTGGTATTGTTGAACTTTGATGTCTTAACTCTAAAATAAACTAAATAAATCACTACCATATTTATAATTAAATGTTTCAACAAATATTACTATTCAAATTTATGCCAAAAAAAAATTATTTGGTGGCTGAAATTCTATTCATACAGCCCATTACAAATTACGACTACCAATGTACAGGGATTGTACGTATGAAATTATGGCTACAATGTGAGATTTTTGGCTCAAAATCTGAGTGACATTATTGTTTGATACATTTAAGTATAGCTATGGTACTCATTTGTTTCATATAAGAGTTAATGTAGCAAATGTAACCATACCAATTATTAAGGCATCGTTTATGCATTTACCCCTAATTCTGCAGGAGTGTTTGATGTGCATGGTAAATTATAGGTTCAATTTCATTTACTTTTTAGAGGGAGGATCGTGAAGCTCTGGACTACAATTGTACATGTTGAAAGTTATTACATGAATATAATGAGAACCGTCTTACTTATTGTGGGTCGCGGGAATGGAAGAAGAACGGGTCAGGGACTATAGAGTGTGGGGCCGAGACTTTTGGGCCGGACATTTCATTTATGTCCACTTGTAAAATATTTTTCATATCACAAATTTTAGTTTTTTCACATTTATTTCAAAAGTAGTCATAAATTCTAGATTTAATCCAATCCGCAATTCCACGTTAAAACAAAAAAACTTTCTCTTCTCATTGTCACTCATCCGCCTAGTCTCCTCCGTTCTCATCTGTCACCCTTCTTCTATGGATACCTCCAACGTCCACTCTTCTCTCTCTTCCCCAAATTAACATTTTTGTCATATTGAAAAAAAGGAAGACACTATATCGTCCCTTATACGGTAACTTAAGGTGTCCAAATTTATGCTATGATGCTCTACATTCCGGTGACCCAATTCTTCAGTATGCAGCCTCTATATTTATAGGTTGTTGGGATACATTATCCGGTCCACTACTGTTCAGGAGCTCAATGCATTGCCCTTATGCAGAGCCTGATAAGTGTCGCCCATTTCGTCTCACCGGGCCCTTTTTGTCCCATACGACCGCTTTCTAGCCCTGTTTATGCTAAAAATAAACTATTCTATGAATATGAATGAAAGGGGAATCGGGCAAGAATGAATCGATACTAGACTGATCAAGAATAATAGACAAAGTATATAAATTAGATAATACTGAATGTTTTAGATATGAATAAAGGTATGAGAGCGAAATTATAGCCATTGATTGCAATTAATCGTGAATGTGTTTACAATGTCTCTCTATTTATTCTCTAACAAAGCACGCACTATCTCCAACCTTCCACCGAAATAGGTGGCACTCCTGCGAAATAGGCTCATGTATTCAGCTATCCGTTCTCCTAGTCTTTATCCTCAATTTAAACCATTTAGCCATTGTTTCGTCGCATAGGTGGATTCTGGAGTCATTGGGCCGAACGCCTTGCTCCTAAGATAGGATCCATTGGCCCATACGAATGATTATTTCTCCTGGGCCCAACATTTTCCCCCATTCATTATGGTGACGGTTTGACTTGCGTGTGAAATCTGTCATCATTATGAATTTGAACTCTCGCAATCTCCCACTCGTTTCATCTTTCCCAATAACTGACAAATCCCTCGTAAAGCGGGAAGCTTTAGTGAAAGAATTGACCTAACCTTTCTCGCTCAAAGCATATTACTTCTCTTTCTTTCGCATCATCAAACCCTCCCCATTCTCGACTCCATTCTTCGAGGCCTGAATTCTCATCTGCTACCATGGAACGCGTCATATTTAAGAGTCAATGCGTCCTTGAAACTAAAAAACTTACAGTCGGCGACTTACGTGTGAAGGATAAGAAAGAGAGTGAATCATCTTATGGCTTTCCTCTTACTGCGAGAATCTACTATCCAGAACTTGGTGAACGCGTAGATTGGATTTGTCCTGGTTGGGTCCACTTTTATCAATACCCGTTTGAGAAGCTCTGTGTACGATTCCCCTTCTCTGAGTTGGTAAGTGGCTTCACCACCCTCGCTAAAGTATCTCCTTGCCAGATTATGCCACAAACATGGAGACTTCTTTACTCATTCAAATTCCTTATTGAAAAGGAAAATTTGTCCTTCACTTCTGCGGATTTGGGCTTTACTTATGACCTACGAACATCGGGCAAAGGGAGATTCATATTGAAGATTAAACCAGGTATGGAACCCCTGATTTTGGGCATTGATAATGCGAATAACAGAGGCTAGTTAATCAAATTCTTCTTCATCGAAAGATCGACATTGGGCGAGCCCAGAAGCCTTTTTCCGACCGTCTGAAAGTTGCAGGTGCGTTTTGTCTTCTCTTGCTTAAATGAATATGAAATCTTTATTAATGGTTCGTTTTCATGCTCATATAGCTCCTTTTTCTTTCTATAGGAGAAGTGAAAATTATCCCTCTAGAATTTGGTCCTACGGCAAATGAAAGGACCAATGCTTCATGGCTTTAAACCCTAAAGCCTGCCTTTACTCGAACCTTAAGCCAGAATTTCGAGGTATGACCGCTAGGTCTCCTTCTGACAGCCCCATTCATGTTGGTTTACGACGTTCTTCTCGGAATATGTCTAAATCCCCTGGTTTATCCCAAGATTTGTCAGCAGTTTCTTTTGAAAGTTCTGAAAAGGAGGATGATGTGGTGAGCGTTACTAGAGATGTCA